TTCCTGGCGCGAAAATCGCTAGCTCGGGAACCAAGGAAGCTGGGAGGCTGAAAGTTTCAGGAAATGCTCCCAACTCATCTACAACCTCAGTTTATTAAATTCAGCCCCCCCCCCCTTCATTCCTGGTTGCCACGTACGGCCCCGTGAAAATTTTTGGCGGAAAATGAATAACTCCTGAACCAGGGAAGCTGGGAAGCTGAAATTTTCAGGAAATGTTCCCAACTCACCTACAACTTCAATTTATCAAATTCAGCCTCCACCATGCGTGGTTGCCACGTACGGCCCCGTGAAAATTTTTGGCGGGAAAATGAATAACTCCAGAACCAACGAAGCTGGGAGGCTGAAACTTTCAGGAAATGTTCTCAACTCATCTACAACTTGAATTTATCAAAATCAGTCCCCCGTTATGCGTGGTGGCTACGCACGGCCCCGTGAAATTTTTTAGCTGCTATTTCGGTAACTCGGGAACTGAGAAAGCTGGGAACCTGGGATTTCAAGGGAATGTTCCCTGTCCAACCATAGCTTGGATAATTAAGTTCCCGAAATTAGAGGACCAGTATGTATAAGAGGTTTCTAGCTAGCGGAATTTCGAGGGATCTTATTACAGCACGAAACACTGCAAAAACGCATGATCGCACGGGGCCCCCCAGCGCGCGTCGCCAATGATTGCTATCCTATACAGCTGGAATGGATAAGGGCTTGGTGTTCTGAAAATACCCAGACGTACCGAGGAGAAAGAAAACCCGGACGTGTTTTGAAGGGTTCATCAGTACTGAGTGTGAAAAATTGAAAGAGATGAACATGCCATTTGAATGATAAAAAATTGAGCTTTAATTCGCAGGTTCTGCAAGAATGTATGCAAATCGGCTTTCATGCGCACAGTATTGTCGTCCATATGAGCAATTGTAAACAGACGTAGCCTCGTGTTCCTCCACGTTTTCGTCTGCATCAAAAGAAACGGCAAAAGCATGAGCATACCACCGTCATGAACAATCCACCATACGTCCACATGGCCATGCACCTACAAAACAACGATGGCCGAAAAGTGACTCACGAGCGAGGGTGCCGTGAAATCGCAAGTTAACTAACGGCTGTTGTTTGAGATGGAAGCCAAGCAACAGCCATTTATGCTCATACCACTTTACGTACGTACTCAACTTCTCAAAACTCCAAGCACACACATATTCAGAAGCAGGAAATGAAATGTAATTCTAGAAATGCAAAATATTTGGAATACGCAGATGTGTGAAACACATAAGGAATTTGGCAAGGAGTCAACTCTTCAAAAAATTTCTTTTCCGGAAGTAAAATAATATTTAAAAGAGTAAACCATAATAAAAAATAAAACAAAATAATTAAAATAATTCGTAATCATAGAAATAAATTATACTCAAAATAAAAAATAAGGCGATATATGTTAAAAT